CCTGAGAGTGTTGCTAGGACCTAGTCGAGGTCGAAACCGAAGCCCATACTGAAAAAGAAGGCTCTTTTAGATGAATAGTACAGCAACAAATCTTCACAACTCTTCACTTTTTCGTGACCAGAATCGTAACCACTTTATATTGCTTGAAATAGCTTGTCTATTGCCCTCTTACTTATTCCCTTATTCTTCCAATGTAACTCTCTACAAAAGTTGGTTCAGCATACTAGCCAGAGAGAAATTCGGGCACACACTTGCTCATCAAATGCAAGATACGCAAGGGCCTGGCAGGTCATTTCTCAAACGAATTCACAAAATCGACAAGTTTTTTGCATACCGTAGGTCTTTGCTAAGAGAAGAAAACTAATTTTTGAAGTTCAACGTCTTCTTCCCAAGGTAGATAGCTCTTGGAAAGACAAAATTTTGGCTTGGTTACAGGTTGAGGATCTCTTTTTCGCTAATATATTCAGCAAATTCCGAGCTCTCCTAAACCGATTCTGAGGCAGCAGCAAGCCACTTTAGCAGAGTCGGCACCTAGACTCTCATGTTGGTACACTCGCTTGATTCAGTGGCCTCATTAGATCGTGTATGGAGGTATGCAGACCCCTATTTTTATTACAGCCTACCTTTGCTGTATGTAATTGGCCTATTTTTGTTTTCACACCTTGGTCGTGCTGTCAGCCCAACCGCGAAGAATCTACCATATCCGGTGTTTCCTGTCATTGCATTCAGGATAACATGTTTCAGGTACACTGTTTATCACTGGGGATTTTCACTACTTCTGTGCCAGAGGACACCGGACAAAAGAGGCTTTTCGAGCTCTCTTTGATAGATTGAGAAATTTATGAAGACCATGTCAGACCAATCGCATGATGCTTCAAATGCGATTCGAGCACTCGAAATAGGCCGGTTGCGGATGCGGGCGCCGAGGATGGTGCCTAGAGAGTCGTTTCTGCAGCTCGCCGGGTCAACTTGGCACATTCACTGGGGACAAGACTTAGCTTCCTTCCAAATGGGCATGAAAACCTCTTTTACGTAACTTTTTAGCGGTGTCATGAAGACCCTGAAAAGTTTTCGTCATACTGCATTCTCTTTTATTTGTACCTTGAGTCCTCCCAGCTTCGGACGCAGAGGATAAGTTCCCAATAGTCGCCTTGACGACACGTGCAATCGTATCAGCTTTAAACAGAATTTACAATCCCCTTTGTGCATTCCGGCTCCGACAATTCCTCCAAAGTGTCATGGCGCCTAAACGAGTAGGAGAGCATGAAGGACTGGCAGGAGTATGACATCAAAACTGGACGATGGGGGGATATGTTACTGTTCACCAACGAGTAGGAAGTGAGAATGAAAGAAGACTGAGCTTTCTTGACGGAGATGGAGTCTTGACTTCGCCAAAGTATGAGTATTGCTTTTGGGAAAATTTTATCATAATCGAAATTGGAATATTTAGTCAAATTCGATGCGATAAATCATAAGTTGGCCTGACTCGCAACAGCCTCGAAAAGAGTTCAGAACTTATTACAATTCACGGCGCCTCATGACCATCGGGAAATTTGTGACCAAGTTTCCGATGCGAAGGAGCTTTAATTGGCTCGGCCCTTGGATTAACAGCACTCCGTCTCATCAAGTTGCCAGTGGCCATTTCTATGGGACTTCATGGAAAGTGTGGCATTTCGTCAAGTTGCTAGGCTTGACGACAGCACTAGGCCTCTGAAAGGAAGGGTTGAATCCAACCTGGAGACGGAAAGATGTTTTTCACTTTGCCGCCAATGTCAGTGATACGCAGGACATAAGTGTTTGCCCACTTCTGAAAACTTTCATCAATCCCAACCAAGAATGTACAAGAAATAGAGTGCCGCAGGTGAGGATTAAACATGCGCACAACTTTCATTGTTGTAAAGGCAAGCATAATCTCGAAGACTCTCTTGTTGGTCTCATGTTGTAGTAGTACTGCTTTCATCGTTAATAAGTGGATTGACGGGATTCACAAATTGGCCCCAATCGAAACCGAAGGACCTGCCTTGGAGTTGTGACCATTGCGTTGTGTGCAGATGTCCTCAGTATGACATACATCCTCAGATCCATAAACCGTACTCCTAGACTGAATCAAGAAAATCAGATCCATCCCTAATCGACAGTTTCAACAGGCACAGCAAAGTGTACCAGGGCAAGAGGAAGACAAGGACGGACGCACACAAACTAGGTAGACCAAGAAGAGCCTTCAAGCAGACAGTTCGTGAGACCCTTTTGCTATGATGAGACCACTTGAACTTGAAGGCAGTGATTGCGACGAAAGCGCGGATAAGGCTTGAAGAAAAGTGCACTACGAAGCCAAACTGGAAGTAGAAGTGATACTACACTTTCGATATAAAAATAAAAACTAGATTTTGGAGAATCACTTGGTGATTTGTTTTGCCCTGAATTTTCATTTTGAAGGAATTCGTGAATTAGTCTCACCGAAAACTTAAGAAGGAATTTCATAGAATGAGAACTGCTGGATTGTGTTTTCATCCATATAGTCGAGACAGACATTGTTAGAGCGACAATCCACACTTCCCGAAAGACTGCGCCAAATACCAAAAGCCAAACTTTGCGATAATACTCATGTATCCTATGATTTGGTTGGCTATTTTATTTTTCGTATGTAAGTAGAGTTTCGAGACTACCAATAAATCATTAATATGAGATGTCTTCACACAATTTCGTTTAAGGTAATGAAGAAATGGTAGTAGCGTTTTTCCAAAATGATATGAGTAGAGCTGACGTTTCCATTAATTTCACATAGCCTTGCTTTCACAAAAGTCGTTTTCATCATATTGCAATTTTATGGCTATTGTATGCCTTAAATACATTCTTGTACATTGGTAAAGTTTATGTATGACGTGGAAAACAGAAGAAACAGGCTTGGATGGTTACTTTCACAATTCACACACCTTGGGTATGGCATACGTACAATAGGCAATTCCACACTCGTAAAAAAATGAAAAATCAAATATTTTGATTGTCTGACGATATCCATTACGGCGTTATAAAACTCCGATTCAACAGTCCTCATTCAAAATATTTTTTTCTTCGTTTTCGGGTGGGACTAATTCACCATATCCCTCTGACCAACATTTCCTTGCAAATGTAAAGTCACGTTACAATAGTACATTTTCGACTGATTGCTCTTTGCACTGTTAATGCACCAATTGATGGAGAATTGGAGAGGAAGCTTTCATTTTTTTATTGGATCTCGCCATGTCATGTATCCGAAAAGGATAAAAGTGGACTGGACAGTCCAAGTTCAGGTGGGTCGTAAGGCAAAGATGAGTTTCAAGCAAAAAGGGAACTCCAATTGTATACTCTTTTCACTATGAGAAAGTCTTCCGAAGCAGCATAGATTACTATTGAAGTGGTTTTTCCTCGCTCCACAACTTACTAGTAGCGTCAGAGGAAATCTTCCATATACATAAATATATATATATGATATGAAGACCTACTCATATATGAGAATAAGTAATATAGTCAATTGCTGTAGCAAATACAACTTTCATTCCTTGGCATTAACATCTGATCCGTGACCCGAGGGCACTCGTGGCAGTCTAACGGGGGAGAGGGGGAGGGTTAACGTGACTATACTATACGCGGTATTACCAAAAGCCGGGTTCGAGTTCCACTGGGGGTGCTGATGTGACCTCTTTAGGCGAGGTCGAAACTGCAGTCCAGTCCAGTCTGGATGGGAACACCTTTTGTGAAATTCATTGAGGGCGCGAGGCCTACTCATATGATTGTGGGAAAATTCAGCTATTAGTCCTTTATAACCTTAAACGAAATATGGTGAATAAATCTCATAAATATGGGGCATTCTGATTACACGAGCCGGCACTACAGAAGTGTGAGTTTTGAAGAGTTCTAACATACAAAATAAGCAATTCTGGGACGAGATTGAAGCCAACTCCATTGCTCCAAAACGGAATTCATACACACACACACACACACATTTTCGTACAAACACATACATAAACTCTAGCATGCATAGGGACCAACCAACACACGTGCAGTGGTAAACACGCAGACAGACTACAAAAGCACGTCATGCTAAGCTGACTGTTAAAATAATTTCTCCTCACAGCCACAAACCTCTCTCCTCCCCTTTGTCCCTCAGTACCGGCAATCTCTGGCGGGCTCTGCAGCTGCCACCTACCAGGCCTGCAGCCTAACAGGCGTGACGAATGTGAACGGCTTTGCTGTTGCCACGGTCAGACTGGGCGCCACACCCAGCAGCGCCTCAGTCACACTGGCCGAGTGGACGGCCAACCTCAGGGCTGCTGTGAATACGGCGTCCGCCTCGTGGACAGGCCTCTACGGAGTTGTGGATGCCTCCGGGGTCCAACTGAGCGTCGCCTGTACGAAGCTATTTGGATGGGGACTTTGTTTTTTATTTCAATCAGACCCCATTTTGGCACATCGTCACGACCCAATTTGGGGCTACCTTTCGCGTTTGGTCATGGTGGCTACACAATGTCTTTGGTAGAAGAAAATTCGTTCTTAAAATAGGCACAAGTTGAATGCTTTTGGCGCTCAGTTAAATTTGGGGAAAAAGTGTGTGTGATGAAGAGATAGGAAACTATATCCCGACCGAAGACAGAGAGGACGCCTCTGGGAGAACTGCCTTTTGACTCCATTTAAGCAGCTTTGTTGACACTCTTATTTGTTTCCAATAGCAACGCGCTGACCTAATTTGGGATAATTATCATATAGGCCTGATAGAAAATAACATCAGATTAAGAAGGAATAAACATTTTGATTAGAAATATTTGAGAAAAAATGATAATACAAATAGCTTGTATCGTGCCCTGACTGTCTGCGTGCCCCTTACTTAAAATTTTAGGCGAAATGGTAAAGAAGTAGGTAGCTGTAAAACTTTCTTTAGATATAATTTACCTATAAGCTAGAGCAGGCTTCCATGAAATAGGGTGTTCAAGCAAGTCCACCTGTGTACCCATGCATCAGAAGCGAGCTAAACACAAAAATATCTTCAAAAGCTCAGAGGTTGCGGAGCCAAAGCCAGTAATCCGACATGAGAATGGATAGCCTCAAACTGGTCTTTGTGTTGATTGTGTCAAATGTACATTAAATGTCATGACAACTGGTAAGAAGATTGGTTGCATCAAGTTCTGCTAAATAGATAGACTTTATGCAGGAGTGTGGGTTGAGCCGCTTGGAGGAAGAAGACGACACGGTTAGTCTACTTTGGGGATTAGAGTGTTAACTGAATCTTGCCGCAAAGATGTCAGTGAACCTCACGTTTGCGCTCCATCTTAAGAATAAGTTAAATTGTAGAGACGTGTGAATCCTACTTATAGGAATGTAGGAAAATTCACCCTTGTTGACTAGAAACATTATCCAAAATTTACTTATATCCTCAATCAATTAATATTTTTTGCATGTATTTTAAATTTCAGTCACATTTCACATGCATCTTAGTTCACACCAATGCATACACACACAAACAGCTCATAAAATCGACCAGACATCGTCAGGCATTACGCAATTTGAGTGATCGTTTCGGAAAGTGTTATTAAAGCTTAATGACGGAATTACTTGGACGTAATGCATACACACATGTTTCCTAGGATGACATTTGACATGAATTGGGCAAATCACACAATGCTTCAAACAGT